TTATACCTTTCCGTCATATCCATTTCTAGTAGCTGGCGGCTTATTAGAAGGTCGAAATGATCCATCAGGCTCTTTGCCTGATTGCGATGATTTCGATGTATTAACCAACAATAAGTAATGAAAATATACTTAGAATATGGAATGTGAAAATAAATAAAACAAAATACACAAGTAAGAAAAAAAAAAAACTTACTTATTGAACCGTAGCTCATCATACAAGCGGAAGTGTCCTGTACAGAATAGAACGTCACACTAGTTCTATACTAATTGCTTGGACAGGAACCTCATGAAAGCGAGAAGGAAATTCGATAACTCAAACAGTATCCTTTTCAGTAGACTCGTTTTTTGAATATTGCATATTGCTTTGGTGGTTGGGAAGGATTTTCTTTCTCAAACCAATCAAATATTTTAGTGTATATTTCAGATTGTTCACGAAAGGTTTGGTCGTTACGTAAAATATCACGAAGTGCTTTGGATAAAACCTCACAAGAGACCTTTAATGGGCATGAGTTATGTAATGCTTCAAGAGTGGTTTTGAGTATATTCTTTATATTTCTTTCGGTAACACCGTATCTTAGCTATTTAGAAAATTTTGGATTTAGCCATTAAAAAAATGAAGTGAGCGCGAGCGTATGAAATTGTAAAACGCGTAAAAAATGATGGGTTATTTATATTAATGAGTTGATCGGCCTAACGTAATAAACACGTGACTGTGCCCCTGTGATCATATGATATAGTAAAATCTGAACTATTACTGTATTAGGAAAACCCATGCCTGACACTTTTCCTATTTGTATAATTACGTAATTTATGTCAAAAAATTCAGGGGTAAAATTTAGGGTTATACGGTGATTTTCCTAGTCCATGACCCATATTCGCTTTTCAGGTGGAATCTGATTCGATCGGAGGTGTGCTTATTATAAGATTGTTCGAAGTAATACTGAAAGTAATATACCAAAGGATAATAGCTTCATATGACTTATTGATTTGTAATTTCATTACAAGACTCAGCGCTTGTGATTTTTGGTACAAATATAAAAAATCGTTGACATTCCCATCTGACAGTCCTCAAAACCTTCAGATATATTTGTAGATAACTTTTCGATAAGACTTTTCAATACATGAGATTCCTTCTTATCTTCTTTATCGAATATTATAGTCGAAACCAGATCACTGCAAGATATCTTGTATGTTTTGGATCTTTATTAGCATTAAGTTTGTAAATGGTTCGAAAATACTGTTATGTTTAAACGATGAGGTGGATTTTTTTGTGGTCCTATTTCTAACAGATGCAGTTGTTATAATGGTCTTTTTATGAGCACCGGTTTTATTTGCCAGCTGAGATTCCTTGTTCGCAGAGGTTGCTTGTATAGTGGCTTTAACATTCCCATTGTCCGCACTAGTTTGATTTTTTGACTAAGCTTACTCCACCTCCAAGGCTTCGAGTAATCCCAAAGCTTTCATAAATTCGTAATCATCGCTATTTTTTGCATTAAATAAATTTTCTTTGATCCATGTTGTGGAACTCTAAAAGGTCAGACGAGTCAGAGGTTGATTCTAAGTCCTCTATAGTATCCGTACTTTCTGAGTTGATTTGGCATTGGTATGGTACTGGATATATCATTCTTGATGGATGGAGAGTTGGCTTTTATGATTTCAACGTCTATATGACAACTGGTGATAGGACATCTCGCCACTCCTGATAAAGAGTCCTTGATACAAGTTCTTGATCACTGCTTAGAATGGGAATTAATTGTAAGGGTTAGGTAAAATTTCTTTAGTTCTAGAACTCAAACCATTACAAAGGTGTTTGGTTCTTTTAAAATATTAAATGCTAAAGTTTTACTGATAGAGAGGACATCTATATTGATAATAAGTTGTAATATCATGTTTTTATAATTGATTATATTTGCTATAGAACTAGTTTAAAAACAATATCAAATGAATAAATTATTTGAATCAGCTTTATGTTACGTAGAAATTTTGTAAAAGATATAATAGTACATTTGTTTATTCTTAAAAAATACCCAATAGGGATATATGGAGTATTATATATTAAAACAACCTATTTTTACAATTTTCTGGATAACTATTGAATAAAAAGGGTTGTTATAAGTAATAAGAGCTAATTGTATAGTAAAAAGATCCACAAAATGAAGTAAAAATTATATATATATTACTAATAGTAGTGTTCGCCAGAAGACTGAAACCCATTAGACATCCGGATTCTTTCAGAACTCCAATGAGAAATCCCTAGAACAATTTTTCGCTAGAACATATTTATTTGAAAAAAGATCTAGCAATTTGTCACAGTAGATTCTATTGAGAATAAAATTGCCACCAAAAAAAATTTCAAGTCAAAATTTTGTATTTTTAGATTAGGATCATGATTTTGCAATTAGATTGTATTTTAAATACTAACCTTATATTAAAATTTACAAAGAAGACTTTTAATTAATGCGCAGAAGGCAGTTTCATAAATTAAATTTTGTTATAAGCGATTTTTGACAAACGAACGTTTGTTTTGAATTTTCCTAATTGTGTAACATTAAACTGTCCTAAAAAATTTCACTGGCAAATTAGATTTTAAGATCAGGTGTAACGCAGAAGAAATATGAAAAATCAAAAACCCGCTCATAACTATAGATGCTGTGAAACTGGTGAAATTTAATATAACAACCAATCAGATTTTAGATAGTCACCAGTTTCACCAGCTTTATTTAGTTTCACCAGCATCTATACTCAACTCAACATTTTATCTATAAAATCACAAAAAGTTTTCTTTGCGAAATTTTGATACTACTAAAGCTCTTTCTAGCCTAGCTTAATAGCAAAACCTAATCCTAATCTAATAGTGAAAATTTTTTAGCGAAATTTTTTAGGTTGGTAACACTAGATCAGTTTCTCACTAATGGCCGTAATCTACAAAATTTTGGCCTGCAATACATAATTGTCTATGTAAGTTTTTGCCAGAATTAACTTTTTACTTTTTCATTCTGAAAATAGGGGTTATCTAAAGCCAGGTGCATTCATATGACTTACAATCAAGTTATAAATTTTAATTTATCTGGATCAGCACACCGAGACAAAACAAAGAAAAAAAGTGAAAAACGCAAAAAATACGAGAACAAGTATCTAAACCTGCCTCGAGGCACTAATAAAAAATGTTGAAAAGACAATTTTACTTATAAGCTTTGTCCTAATTTTAATCTCTAACTAACCCTTACCTTAATTTTAATTAAATAATCAAAAACATATAAACGCACTGGGCTTTAGCCATCTCCCAAAATAGAAATTTTTAAAGAAATAGGTCTGAATGGTAAAATTAGCCCAGAAACATTTTTTGCTTAATGGGCGGCCGTGGTTCATTAGTAAAATTTTAGGTAACTTAAATTTTTGATCATCACTCTTAGCCAATCAAAATCAAGAATCTACCAATTATCTCAAAAACTGGCTAATTAATCATAAATAAAAATATTCTAATTCTAACTATAAGTAGTGTTGTCACAGGACAGTTGCGGACAGTAAGTTTGGACACTTTTGACAATTTTGAACAATTAAATAAATTAAAATTACTCAAAATTTTATTAATATAACCTATATTATTTTCTAAGTAAAATATATTTAGCACCTAAAAAAATATATAATCATATATTTTTTAAACAAATTTATTAATTATTAAAGCTTGGACATGCTTTGGACACTTGGACGTTGGACAGTGTCAAAAAAGGCTTTGAACAGTCAAAACGTATATCACTGAGATGCAAAACACCATAGGTGCGTTTTAAAATATATATATTACGTAAATATTTTTAAGTTAAAAAAAAAATTTTTAATACATTGTATTACAAAAAAGTTTATTTTTTACTTTACTAATAAAATACAGTATACAGTATCTATAGTATTTTATTATCTACATTATATGATTCTAACAACTAGCTAATTAATCAATATATATAGAATATTCTAAATAAGCTTTCCAAAAACCTTTTTCAAATTTTAATAGAAAATTTAAGTTTTACATACAAAAAAGTAAAAATTAAGAAAACTCCATAAGAACATATAATAGGTGGTAAAACACTATAGGTGCATTTTAGTAAAAATGTTATTCATCTTTTTTATACGTACGTACGTGAGTATAACCATCATTGTTTTAAGAAGTATTATAGATTGAAACTTCAGATATGTTAAATTTACCGTGTATACAAATAGAACTAGAGAATAATAAAATTTTGAGATAATATTTTTTATAGCCTGTTTATACGTACACATTTCAAAATCGTTAAAATTTACTACGTAAACCGATTTGATTTGTTTAATGTTATATAAAATCAAGAAATTAGCTTGTATGGTCTAATTCAAGCAACGAAAATTACGTGCAGGTAAATTTCTTGGCATAATCTGACATGGGTGTAAAAAATATCAGCTTATTGTTAGTTTAAAATCAAAAATATGTGGTGTATATCGATATGTGGTAAATAATCTTAATTGACCAATCGTATTTAAAAAAAAACCGTCTACGTATCTGTTATCTGTTATCGTACCTTAAAATATTGCTACGTATGTTCATATTGCTCAATTTGTATAAGGACAATTTATCATCAGATTTTTATCGATATAAGTCAGTCAAGACTGATTTTTATAACGATACCAAGCCCAGATAGACCTAATTGTTAAGGTTAATAACTGTTGCGTATGCAACGGGTTACAACCTTGTATTGAAATTTAGCATCACATGAATTATTGGTTATAAATTGATGATACGAGCCAATAGGGAGAGATAAATTATAGATTTTTAAAATTCTGGCCCAAAAGTGTCGGCATGTGATAAAATTCTTTTATGAACGCATAACGATAATTCAAATAACTTGTTCTTTAAAGTCTGAACATGTCGCAACTATTACTACGCCTGTTCCAGAGTGAACATTTCAATAGCTGGATGGCCATTTCATACCTGTTTAGGTATCCAGATTCAGTCGGGATCCAACATTATTTATGCAATGAGCTCAAGAAATTCCCAATGTCAGAAATCGAGTTCTTTTTACCGCAGTTATGGTAAAGGTTATGAGTTATTTACTTTTTTCAAGCATTTGAGACATTTATAAGAGCATTTCTGCTTGCTAAAATTATTTTGTCGAGTTGCCTGAAATCGGATTAGAAAAACGACCGGTTGGACGTCACAACGCTTTTATCCGATAGACGAAACTTATTCATTTTATTTTATATTATTCTTAAATTTCCCAATTCAAGTCATTTGTTAATTAGTCGACCCACTGAATCGGTGGCTTTAGAATGTTTTATACTAGAATATTGTGAGAAGTCAACACATATGGCTATACTGGTATTGTGTACAAATATTTGTCATAAAAAAAAAAACAATTTAAATAAATTAAAATAAATTGGAGAAACTATATATACATTAGTTAATCATGATTTTTATATTTTTTAGACATTATGGTATCTTCAAGCATATCGTTCAGACTTATCTGCCAATCCATCTTCACCTGCCTTCACAGTATGTAAGCGTGTACTGAACAAATGCCAAGCATTAGTATTTAACGGAAAGCAAGATGAGAATGATAAAGTCACTATCCCAGGCACTGGCACACGAGAAATGTTTCCACGACAAGTTCGTGAGAATACTTTCCCTGCTCTTGTTGGAATTGGTGCGATGCTTGCTGGTATCGCTGCACCAATGCTAACAAAGAGTGCTGGCCAAATTGCTATAGCACAAGGAAGACGAGCAAGAACTTTTAGTAACGTTGCAGGTGGGATTGTTAGGAGACGTACTTATTCTGGAAATGTCCGAACTCCTAAACAATCCGAATTTCCAAATGACAATATGTCAAATGAGGATTCCATTCAACTTTTGAATGATGATTCAACAATATCGAAAAATAAAGATAAAAAATTAAATGAAGATTTGTGTTACAATAACAAAAGCAATGAGTCACAAGAAATCCGGATTGACTCAGCATCATCAACAAAAGATGTACTTGTGGCTGAGGACAACAAAGATAAGGTGCATGTAATTAAAGATGAACAAGACGTCTCTAAGATTAATGGACAATCCAAACCAAAATTTATCAAAGGTCATAAGAAAAGTTTATCGCGATCAGCTTCTTCATCTCTTCCACACAGACATAATGGACTGAGTAGTGCTATGTTTACATCTCCATCACTTGATGATTTGCAAAAAGGAAGTGCTTATTCAGTGAAGCAATATTCAAAACCTCGACCACAATCTGCTGATTATCCGCTATCTAGTGTTGAGCAGGATGGTTATTATGACGACGACGAAATAGAACTTTTAGATCATACTTTATTAGATGAACTGGAAGATTATAGTCCTGAACGGCGAAGGCGTCTTCTCAAGGGAAATTATTTCCAATCTGAACCGCAATTCCTATTAGCACTTCAAGATATTTCAACAAGATTAATTATTGTTCCGCGAGAAGCAAGACAAAGCGCTTTAAGGGCTGAATTGACATTATTAAATCATAATTTACCAGCAGAAATCTGCATGCCATTATGGTGTCCTGCAACTGCCGAGAATCCATGTCATCATCGTGTAGTCAGGATATCGCCAACTGACGCAGTGGTGTTAAATTCAGCTGAACGGGTATAATAAATTTATTGTTACTATTCAGCATTTAGAGGATTAAAAATTCTAATTATTCTAAAATATTCCTTTAAGGTACCTTATTTATTAATGGTAGAAGTCCTTGAAGGGGAAACGAATTTTGATATGTCCAGGATGCAAGCTCAAAAATCATTAAACCGTTTACTTCATGATGAAAAAAAACGGAAAAAAGGTTCTACTGATACGTCAATATCAACAGATACACCAAAAAATAAGGACAATATAAATAAATTAACTATAGAACATTCTGAGGAATCTACAGATAGCCTTGGTAGTGTAAATAAACAAGACACGGAACGTTCTCATAATAAATTAAAAGATACATCAGATGCAAATGATAACATTGGCGAAAAACTCATAGACAGTGAATGCAATTCCACAAATAAAAGTGATAGCATCAAAACTGATGATATCGGAGAGCGACAATCATCCCCATTAATTACTCAAATATCTGCACCGCCACGTAGTTTACCAAAAACACGGCCGTCCAGACGCACTGCGTCAATTGACAGGCTCCCACCTCTAGTTTCTCTCGATGAAAAAGGTGCACAACCCTTGATAATTGAGCCTTATACACAAACAATTGATACTTTATCACAATCGAAAAATGTATCATCTGTTCCATACACCCTTACCACTCCAACTCTACCAGAATCAAATAGCCAATATTTCAAGCAAGTTATTAATCGTCGACAGTCCAATTCAGCAGATGAGTTTGCTGAAAGAATGCGTACAGCTGCAGTCATGCTTGCACAATTGAATGCAGCGCAACAAGTGCGCACATCTTCCGCTGGTGAAACAATACAAAGGACTAGGGCTGATACTGAGGCAATAAAGAAAAAAATAATTAGTGAGATGATGTATTTAGAGGAACAAAGAATGTTAAAAATGACAACCCAGGGTGTTACCAGTGTAGTCGGTAACGGTGGCGAAGGTGGAGGTGGTGAAATGTTGGAAGACGAAAAACACGTACTGATAGCCTTCAATAAAGATGATCCAAGTGGTAAGAAATAATGATATTTATTAAATTTCAATACATCTATTGGTATAATTAAACCTTTTATTGTAGCTGCCGTGTTTAGTGAAGATTGGGAAACGAAACAGGAGCGCATTCGTAAATCTTCTCCTTTTGGATATCTTTCAAATTGGCGTTTATTGTCAGTCATTGTAAAAACTGGCGCCGACTTGCGTCAAGAACAATTGGCGTGCCAACTAATCCGAGAAATGCAGAGAATATGGCAAAATGCTGGAATTAACGTTTGGGTGCAATAGTGAGTAATCATTTTCTACCAACTACTATTATTACGATTATTATATTATAATTATTATTATAATTATTATTGTAATCATTATTATTACCATCGTTATTTCCTTTCCATTGTTACTTGAATTCATTTACTTGTATAGTTCATCATTTATCGATATCATATCTTGTTTAATAGTTACAGAGTACTTGTAACATCTGACAATTCAGGATTGGTAGAAACAATTCAAAACACCATTTCAGTCCATTCGATCAAAAAAGATGCGTATGCAAAAAGGTTAGATGAAAAAGGGTTTATATTCACTTTATTTGACTATTTTGTGAAGGTTCGGGGTTTTTTTTATAATGCGCAAGATAATATTCATTTTTTATTTCATTTTACTTATCTCGTTCGTTATTTCAACCGTTATTCAGACATATGGTGATGTTTCATCAGAATCATTCTTACGTGCTCAAGATAATTTTATGAGAAGCTTGGCAGCTTATTCTCTTGTTTGTTACATTTTGCAAGTGAAGGATCGGTAATTGTCTAATTTTTTTTTTTTTTTTTGGTTTAAAAAAAAAAAAAAAACTAGTAGTTAACTAATATCATAATTTTGCAGTCATAATGGCAATGTCTTATTGGATACTGAAGGTCACTTGATACGTATGTATTTAATTGAATAGTCTGTGAATTTTTGATAAAATCTTAATTCTATAAAACCATATCATTTTAGATATCGATTTTGGATTCATGCTCTCTAATTCGCCTGGTTCCGTCGGATTCGAGCTTGCTCCTTTCAAGCTTTCGCAAGAGTATTTGGATATCCTTGGTGGGGTAACTAGTGAGAAATTTGCAGAATTCAAATCGCTATTAAAACAAGCTTTTCTTGAACTGCGCAAGCATGCTGATAACTTTATATTATTAGTTGAGATGATGTCCAAAGGTATAGTTTATTCCCTTGAATTTTTTTTTTTCCTATCATTACAGTTTTGAAATGCCACACATTCGATTTTAACCAATACTTTCTTAAAAGATTCGAAACTTCCTTGTTTCCTTGCGGGTTCGGCCGCTCATCTCCACGATAGGTTCCAACTTTCTCTTACTGAACCGCAGTTTGACGAATTTGTTGAAAAGTTGATTATGTCAAGTTGTTGTAATGTGTTTACCCGATTGTATGATACTTTTCAATATTACTCTAATGGAATTCTATAATAAATTTTGAAAACATGATTTTATTTGGATAAATAAGAAGCCGTGGATATGTTCGCTTTTTTATTATTGTGTAGATGTTTTTGAGGGAATTTGGTATAAGAGGAATAATTTTGAATCAATTTGAATTGAATTTGATACCTTGTATAATATTACTAACAAAATTCTGTGTTTTCAGACATTGTTTATTTTCATTTTTAGAAAAGAACCAAGAAATCTTTAATAATTATAAATTGTTAAAAAAAATATATATACAATAATTTTTGTTTATAATTTTATTTTGTTTTAGAAAAAAAAATTATAATTGTTATATTTTATTCATTTATTTTTTATTTATTTTCTTTTTTTTTTGTTTTTTTTTTCCATAGAAAAAAAAAAAAAAAGTTCTTAATTTTAAATTTATTAACATACAATCGTTAACTACCAATGTGATGCACAATAATAGCCTTAAGATTGAAATTTTTAAAGGATGAGAATCTTGAATTATGAATTAAGCTACCTAACAAACCCTGTATGAAAATTAACCCTAATAGTCCTTTTAAACAATTTCTAATTATAATTACATAATACTACGTATTCACCAATCGTCTATGCCACTGTTAAGTTTATCAATACGAGCACGGAAGGAAAAATCATAAATGCCATATGGAAATTCCCATTCCCTTGTACTAGTTAATTTTACAAAACGGATTCCAGTCTCTCGAATTTGAAAAGTACATGATAATAAATGTGTTCTTCCGTCAAGGCCAGTTTGTGGAAGCTGTCTAACTTCTATTTTCGGTAATGGTGACAATTGTATCTAAAGGAATTAATAATATAATTAAAAAACGTAAACTAATCTCGAAAACGAACAAGTGTAAATGCATAAAGTTATACCCAATCTATTCCATTATAAGATATCTGTATCTTTATGTTTAATGAAGAGAAATAATCTCTGTGGTGATCGACTACGAGAGTAAATATGAGTGGGAATGGCATCGGGAACAACAAATCTAAACTAATATAATCATCCTTACGAATGACTATTTGGTTAAATCATGAAAGTAAGCAAAAAAACTGCCAAAAAACCTATTATTAATGTTTATTTAACGTAAGTTACCCTCTTGTGATTTCCATGCAGTCCATTCTTTATCATCTACTGCGTGCGAATAAGGATGACGAATGAAATGTCCAGTGTCATAATAGCTCTCATGAATTCGTTCAGACTCACTAATATTAATATATGGTCTATAACGAAATGCTCGAACGTCCGGAAAAGAATGTTTATTTGTAAGAAATAAACATCTATCATTCGCGCAAGGAGAACGTACATCACGTTGATATATGCTAGGTGAAATTTCCTTAGTTTCAAAGGCACCTGTTTTACGACTTAGATGATCGTATAAACGTACCAAAGCTTTGTGCATATAAATTTTGTTGCGAATTCTTCCCTCTCCAGCACTAAAAGCATTTTCCTGCGGTAATTCCATTAATTCATTCTCCAATTGATATGGCACTTGGTTCATAAATGTTGTGAAATACATGTCGCCATACGCAAATTCAGTTGGGTCCATCTCAGTGATCGAAGCCATTTTGAGAAACCTTACTACATTTTCCCGAGAAGTAAAAGCACCAGTTCCAACCCAAGAAAAGCAAGCGTGCAAATCGACAGCTAAATCAAATAAATTTGAAAAATTAATATTGTTAAAAACGATATGTTTAAATAACGGAAAATTTTTCAATACATCTTTAAAATTAATTCACATACAATCATCAAAAAAACACCATTTCCAATTGGTCAGGGAATATACGTCCGCATTTGTATCGGTATGAATTAAATTTGGAAAACGTAGAAAGTTAGCATACATAGAACGCATATTCCGGATAATCCAATCATCATCCTGAAAATAACAGTAAGGAGTAGTGGCCATCGCACAAGCCATGTATCTTGCAATGAAATGCATGTTTCCTGGAGAGTTGTAATATCGGATTTTAGCGCATTGGGTCTCGGTGAACATCTTCACATTGTTAAAGAATAAGATTCACGTTGTCAATAAATAACCTTAATTAAATATAGATCATCTCCGCTAAATTGGCTTTTATAGTTAGAAATTCAATTAATTCACACAATATTAATCAAGAGAAATCTCTTACTTGGTCAGAAAGATGTATATCACCATTATTATTCCATATCATGATCTCCTTAAACATTGAATATTGACACAGATGTTTTACTATAATCTTCAAATTTTCTAATCTAGACCAATTCAATAGAATTGCAGTAGTTTCTCCATCACCATCAGTGGGAAAAACGTTGCTTAACACATCTACTGAAGGTATATCTTGTGATATTATTTCTTTTGATGGAAATTGACTTATACCATAAAGACATATCCAGAATAAAAATATCAAAAAAAGCAGTAAAGGCTGTTTGAAAATAATGCTTGTTTTGAAAAACTTTAAAATTTGAGGGATTAAAGGTGATTCTTGCAATAATTTGCGTCGAAAGTTTGTTTTTGTGGTAAACACATCGGTATTTATGTTGATGTGAAGGGGTAATCGTGTAGTGGTTTTGTCAGGCATTGTGCTTTTACTATTTCTATGAAGTATTTGTTGGAATAAACAGTGGCTTATGGTAAAAGAAGATGATCGCTAACGATCAAAATTTGGAACTTAAAAATGTTGACTGTTGAAGGTAAAAGCTATCTTCACGATCGTTCGCAGAAACTTCAAGTAATGAATTTCAGAATGACAGACTTGTAAAAACATTTGTGCAAAAGAAATCGCAATAATATGAATTGCTGTTCCGGAACAGCAGAATTATTATTAGTGTAAAGTACGCATTCAATTGAATTTTAACTGACTTTTGATAAAAAAAAAAAAAAAATTATGTCCCCCCTGTAATTTTTACCCAATTATTTATTTCTGCAAGTAATACAAGGGTCTGCAAATTGTCCATTTTGGCAGCCCGGCCAGGCCCGCTTTTAAATAAGCTTTTAAATTTTGAATTTTACTGGCCAGGCCCGCTTTTAAATAAGCTTTTAAATTTTGAATTTTACTGGACCGGCCCGCCCAGCCCACAATATACTTATTTTGCTTATACATGTATACATTAAAAATTAAAAATTACTATATACAGTCGACTCTGACTACGTACGTATAACGAACCTCCATATCAGATATAACGAATTCTGGATATAACGAACTCAAAAATTTAAAATTTCATAGTAGTTCGGTATAGAAAGTGTCATTAGTTCTTAAGAAAACATAGTAATTTTCTATAACGAACTTTTTTTTTCTTTCCAGAACCGCTGTATTTACATACGTACTATCGTTATTGTATCGTGAGATTTACATTCTGATTGGACGAAATTGACGATCTCTAGTTCGGTAATAATTTTTTTTCATGTATCTAAAGTCGATGAAATTTTTTTTTTTTTAACTCTACGAATCACATATGATTTAAGTTTCATCAAATTTAAGTGGGTGGCTATCGAGATATTATTGATCAAAGTTTGGAAAAAAAACTCGTCTGAATTTTGTGAATCCATAGAATAAAAATGAATTTTTCATCGATTTTAAATATGTAGTTATTGAGACATCCTCGTTCGAAGTTCAATAAGCGATTATCAAAAAGATGGCAAAGTTGTTTCTAAACTTTGGTCGATAAAATACCCACATAAATTTGATGATTTTAATTATATAGATTCATAGAATTAAATAAAAAAAAAAAATCTCATTGATCTTAAATACCGGTAGGATATTTTCGCTCAAAGTTTACATTATTATTAGGGATCGTCAATTTTATTCCATAAATCAATTTAGAACATTTTTCACTTAAAACACAAAGTAGTTGTATTAATAAAATTTTGCAGTATATAGCTTTAAAGTTTGCATTTTCTTATGATTTATTTATTATAAAATTTATAATATAAAAACTGATTTTCCCAACATAGCCCATATGTATGATAAATTTGCCACGGAATGAATTTTAATCCAAATTTAGTGATTTTACTACCGTTTGAATCAGAAAATTCATTTTATGCAAAGTAAACCTTCCTTAAGTTTCTAACAAATAAAATTTGTTTAGTACATCACGAATTATTGGCATTATCTTCTTCATAACTATATGGTTTTTTTTACTTATTCCCCCCGGTTCTTATTTATACTTATATACTATCTTTTCTCGCAGATTTCAGATTCGGGTGATCCGGAGTTTTATATTTCTTTTTGATTATATAAGTGGCCATTTTGTCGTTACCCGATCACCGATCCACATTTCTGGTTATTGCCCACTTGTGGACAATAACATATCAGAAACTTTCGGTGAAAGTAATAGTACTTCGCCGACTTTTACTATGAAATCTACCCGTCAACTGTGATTTACCACGATCTACAAAATTCGCGATAAATTTAGACACTAACGTGAAATAAAATTTGCGCGAACGCTTTTATTATAACATTAAAGTTTCCGAATTCTAGAATTGACACTGGGACGGGTATTGATATTAGTGGATTGTTTAGTACTAAATTTCTATTTAAGGGGTTGCTTAAAGCAACTTTTTAATTAAAGTTAGGATAAGGATGAGTCGAAGGTTAGGGTGAGATTGAGCTATATAGTAAAATTGCCTCCCCGACATTTTTTGTTAATGCCCCAAGGTAGGTTTAGGCACTTGTTTCTTGTATTTTCACTTTTTTTTGTCTTTTTTTCTTCGTCGGGCTGATCCGTGTTGATCAAAACAAACAAACCGATTGGCCGATCACCCGGATTGGAACAACCACAATTTATTTTTTATTTTTTTTAAATTTTAACGGTGAGGCCATGCCTCTAACTATTTCTTTATTTTATCCTCAGCTTCTGAAATAAAGAATTAGCTTTATTTAACCTTAAACAAGGGTTAAAGCGGAGCTAAGTTTAGGGTTACCTTTTCAGGGTTGGGCAGCCTTCTATGTCGATGAATTTTACCGGACACCGGACATATAAATTTGTCCGGTATCCATTGATCTGTTAACACATTTAGAATAAAAATTTGCAGTTTATTACTGTCCTAATTATTTGGTTTGCTTGACTCTGAACAGAGGTTTCTATGTTTCAAAAAAAATTGCAGACAATTTTAGATTTAAATTTCATTGGACAGCCCACTTGTCCGATTGCCCAACCCTGACCTTTTTGATGCAGTTATAGTTAGTTAGTTATATAGATACAGTTAACTCTTTCTATAACGAACTGAAGATTCTGGAAGAAAAAAAAGTTCAGTATAGGGAAATTATTATGTTTTCTTAAGAACCCATGCCACTTTTTATACCGAACTATTATAAAATTTCAAAATTTTTGAGTTTGTTATATCCAGAATTCGTTATAAAAAGGTTCGTCATATCCAGAGTCGACTGTATCAATAATGTAACTTATGCAGTATGTAGATCATATATTGATTATTGTTTGTGAAACCTAAATTAGGGTTGTGAGTGTTGTGTAGGGTTGGGGGCATGGCAAATTTTTGGGGCATGCCCCTGGGGGCATGCCTTTGCGAAGAGCATGCCCCTCTGTGCCTAGGGCATGCACTCTATAGATATATATATCATATATTATCGTAATTAGCAATAGTAGGCTTTAATTCTAATTGGCCAATTTGATAATTGATCAATTATATAAGGGGATTGCTACCGACACAGCAACACGTGATTTATCTCCTTATCGACACAGCAAATGATCGACATGAGTACCCCAAATTTTGACCAATGATATTTTAGATCTTCGGTGAATATATTACGTATTCGGATATTAAATAAATATCTGGATTTCCATTTTTGGCCAGATCAGAAACTTTATCGTTACAAGTTAACACGATACGTATATAAAAGGCAAATCTTTTCTTTGTACCTCTTTAATTACATAACAAGAAATGAGCAGTTTTGAAAATCAAAATAGCTGTAGTTTTGAAGAAATAAAAGTTGAATTAGAAGAAATCGACGAAACAAAATTTAAAAATGATGTTGAGTTTGACAGTGAAAGTGAAATCGAGATTGTGGAGAAAAGTGAAATTAAGTTTAACGAAGGAGAGACCACCGATATTTGTATGTTGAACTCGACAAATTAAAATAAATCAGATTAAAATGAAATTAACGTGTCATAATAAATGATTATTCTTTTTTTATATAATTGCAGTATACTAATTTTTTTTTTTTTTTTTACTAGCTAATGAAATGCTCAAACATGATTATATCACAAAAAAGGACATTGCTTTTTACTGCGCAAGGAATTGCCCGGCATTCTGGATTTGCAGTAACAATAAAAAGTAGTGGCCATCGTCATTTCCATCTCCAATGCAAGCATGGTGGACAACCTCGTAATACCTCAAACCTAACAGTGGACACACGCCAAAGGAAGAGAATGAGTAAATGTTGTGGGTGCCCATTTATTTTAAAAGCAGCTCCAAAAAATTTTAAATGGCAAGTTACTGAAATCACAAATGAGCACAACCATCCTATGGCCAAGGACGAAAGGATTTTCCATGAACATCGTCAGTTAACACGTGAAGCAAGAAGTACAGCTGTACGAATGTTAAAAGCAGGGGCAAAGCCCAGTATGATTTATGAAGCTATGAGAGATGAAGATGGGCAACCAACAGTAACTAGAAAGGACATATTGAATCTAGGCTTACGAATTAACTTTCTGGAAGAAAATGCTTCAATGGAGGCACTGATTATTGGCATGAAAAAAAGAGGATATACAGTGCGCCGTGAAAATTATAAAGGAAAATATTTTTATTAACTTATATTGTTACAATTACAGTCTCTATATCTTAATAATATAATCTATTGATGTAACAGATGGTCGTCTAAAACACTTATTTTTTTGTCATGCCAATTCGATAAGAAGTGCCAGACGTTTTTCGGAAGTAGTTCTAGTCGACGCCACTTATAAAACCAACGTTTACAAACTACCGTTTGTAAATTTTGTTGGAATTGGCAATCTTGGTGTAAACAAATTACAAACATTCAGAATTGCTGGAGCCTGGATTTCTGATGAATCAGAGAATTCATACATTTGGGTTATTAAGCAGCTCATCTCTCTTATATTCTTTGATATTATTCCTTTGGTATTTGTCACTGATAATGACGCTGCGCTTACTGGTGCTATTAGAAAATTTTTTCCAAAAACTGAGTATCTTTTGTGTACTTGGCATGTTTTAAATAATTTCAAGAAAAATTTAAGAAAATATTTTGACGATGATTCATTTGATGAAATTATTAAAGTTGTAGATCGTCTTATTAATTTAAGAGACTATGATATGTTAAAGTTAACGATTAATGATTATAAAAAATTGGCCTCATCAAGCTCAAATGAAAATGAAGTAATTAAATACTTTGAGAGGTAAATGAATTTATTATAATTTTAATTTTTTATATTGAAACAAGTGAAAATAAGGATACCGATGATTGTATTAAAGAAATTCAACTTAAAGCCACAGAATATGAAGACGCAATCGAATGGATCCTTTTTAATAGATTAGTTAATATTCAAAAGAATAGCGATAGATTTTTTGCAATTTAATTAGATGGTGTACGATTAATACTATAACTATAGATATGAATGTATACAGTCACGTATATTGGCATGTAAAATTACATCTAAAATATTGAGTAGATCACAAATATTCAAAATATCTTAAAAGAAGTGAGATTAGAAATCGGTGTGTGTTAAATAAAAATTCAGTTTTTAATTTCATATGTTTTTAAATTACTTTCTCTAGAATGATGAAGGTTAAAGAGAAATGGGTCGGTGTTTATACCAGCAGGATTATGCACTTTGGTGCAACGACTACCCAACGTGTTGAAGGTGCGCATTCAGCCATGAAGCATGCAATCAAAACCTCAGGAAATTTGACGAAAGCTTTTAATTCTTTGGACCGATGGTTGCGTTTGCATCATGAAGAGAATTCACTACAATATGAAAATGAAAGCATAAGCATTGATCCATTGTTAGCACAAGAGGATAAGGATCGATTAGAGCCACTTTTAGGAAAAGTATCACAATTTGCACTGAATAAGATTAAGAACGAACTTCTCAGCACGACTGCATATAAAGCTTGCTTGTGCGAGTTACGTGTTAATTATAATATACCTTGTCGTCATATGCTTTCGAACGAAGATCCCATTACATTGTCAAGTATTCCAAAACGATGGTTGCTATTTCCCGATCAGGACCAGCCAGCTTCTAGTCACATAGCTCAAAATGTAGCTCCGGTTAATTCTGATAGTTTTTTTCCGCTCAAATCTAAGCTTTATATGGTTGAATCGTGATACATGAGTTTTTCTGACGAACAGCAAAAGACTGCTCTTTTAAACAAGCTTGATGATATTTTGGCGGTTCCAGAAGTTAAACTTTCTGATATAAAGGTATAGTGTTTAAAATTCAAAATAAAAATCATTTGCACAAATCTATATTTTATATATTTTGTGCTACTTTTTTTAAAAAAATTTACTTGCTTAATTATTAAATTTTTAAAACTTTTATACATGTGCATCTTGCGTATATTAATTTTAAACTCTGTAAAGGTACCAGAAAAGATTGTAGGAAAAGGCCGTCCTTCTGGAACAAAACGATTACCGACTGCATTAGAGCGTATTGAACAAGAAGAAAAAAAAAAAAAGAAAACTGATAATGGAAATCGTCAAATTAAAAACACAATTTCTTACAAAAAAAAAAAATGTAGAAATGTTGAGGAAAAACCAATCAAAAGTATTAGCTTTTCACAATGTATTTCAGAGCTTAATATTGAAGGTAAATAAATAAATAAATAAATAAAAGAAATAACAAATTAACTAATAATTAATATTTGTATAGATCAAAGTTCGAAGATTTTATTAAATTATCGCATTCCAGCTAATGATATAGACCAGATATACAATCCGCTAAATGATGGTAATTGTGGGTTTTGTGCACTTGCTTTTGCTATCAGAGGAAATGAAGAAAATTGGGATCTCATTAAATTAGCAATGAACAATCAATTAAGTAAGCGAATGGAGGTTTACAAAGACTGGTTAGGCTACAACACTGACTCGCTTAAATGGATATTAGAATTTCGAGCATCACCTTGTCAACCTTCACAATGGTTTGTATCACCAGATTGTGCTCAATTGGCTGCCAGCACATTTGCTGTTCCTATTGCTATCTTTGATGAGAAAAATGAACAGAGTATGTTGTTCTTTCCATTGGAAACACCACCAGTGCATCGAAAAACCTCGATTATCTTACATTTCATAAATGGAAACCATATTGTATATGTAGGTATGAAAAGTTATGCAAAGATCAATTGGCCAGCAGTTAATGTTCAGCATATACCATTATGTCGTAAATATGGTATTGAAGACCACTGGTCAAAACTTTTTGCATAATTTATCTTCGTTTATCAGGTTGAAATTATGAAATTAGAATTTTCATATGTACTATGTATAGAAACTATTACATTATATGGCGTACATGTGTAGTATATTTATACATTATTGCAGAGATTCTAAGTGCGTTTATAAAGTATAATACATGTACGGTGCGAGAAATTTAAATATTTCAATACCTCTATGTAGAGATAATGCAATAAACTGGTAGTAAATTTAAATTATCCCTTGTACAGAAATAAAATAAGAGCAAACTTAAAATAAATTGCTACTAAATTTGTTTAAATCCAATGAATTAGTTGATTTTTATTCTATATAAAGCGATTGAAGTTTTTAGATTTCTTGTAATATATTTAATTTAATTGAAAACTAAGTGTAAAAATAGCCGTGATAACGAATCATTTATTTATAATAATTATAATATGAAAGGGTGAAATATGCGACTTTCGCAGGTTTCACTCTGTTGTATAATAATTATTTAAGGGGATAACTATTATTTAATTATTTATTATAAATTGTTCATTTGATTTTTTTATTATGCATATTTCATAATTTTGATTGGTCAAAATTTGGGGTACTCATGTCGATCATTTGCTGTGTCGATAAGGAGATAAATCATGTGTTGCTGTGTTGGTAGCAATCCCCTTATATAATAGCCCTATATCACATGATAGGGGGCATGCCTTTTGGTCAAAGGGCATGCCCTAGGCATGCCCCCGGGGACATGCCCCATGGGGCATGCCTCTTAACCCCATGCCCCCAACCCTAGTGTTGTGAGCTTACGTAGTCTAATGGGAAAAAGTCATGTAAGCCAGAAATGCATGCATACAGTGTGAGTATTTGTCGAGTTATAGTGTATCTGAAGTTACACTAACACATCAGTGTAAAAATGTCGAAAGTACCATACAGCGCACCTTATAGTATCCCGGGTATATACGGGGAAACTTGTATAAACCATGAATTGTACCCTCCTGGGTATTGTATATAGTGGGGGTTATAATACTCGGGAGGTACTTTGTATGGGAGTATAATTCACGGGGAGTACTATAATAGAATCAATATAAAATGATCGATTATCGAAATGTTGAAAATTTGTCACAAAGTACTTATATAGACCACCACCATTTATCATATTGTAATTTGTTCTTGGGTATCCTGATACCTGTACATATCTGAAAGTATCATTTGCTTATATATAAGCATTGTCAAAAGAAGAAAATATCTTAGAGTTTCTTTTGGCATCACTCATAGTTTGAATATAATGAACTTTTAAATTTTAACTCTTAATATAACGAACTTTAAAGTTACAAACGTATCTCCTCAGCTTAGTCAAAGATCTTCACCTGAAACTTTTGAAGTGCCGGATAGTCTTTTTTTTTTTTTTTTTTAAGAAATAAACAGAAACTTTTATATATGAGATTTATCAGGTTCGATACATTTAAAGTTTATAAGGCCAGACCAAGTTAATTTTTTGGTTCTCATAACATAAAATTTTTGAAAGTGACCCGGCAACCCAGCTTTTAATATTATTTTAAAAAATTTTATATATAAAAAATATATAAAATTTTTTATAAATTTTTTAGAAAAACCTATCCGGATAGTAAATATACTTAAAATGTTTTAAAAGTTTGTAAAATTTGACCTGGCCAGGTTATGAGAATCAAAAAATTAATTTGGCCTGGCCTAATATTCAAAAATTTATAATTAAAAATTAACAGATCTTTTTTTTTTAAGACAAAATGCCACCAAGATCAACTTGAAAACATCATAATTCAAATATTACCTAAAAAAAGCATTGTAGTTAGAATGTACGAGAAAAATTAGCCATTTTGGCCTTTCTGGAAAATCATCCGCAAAAAAGTATATGTGCAACCGCCACTATGTTTAATATTGAACCAGTTCAAGTCAGAAAATGGCGCAATCTTAAGCAACAATTAATGGAGGCTTCATCCCATATCTTACGATTAAATAATAGCACACGCCCCAAATATCCGGAACTTGAAGAAGTTCTTAATGAGTGGGTTAAAAACTTGCGTAGAAATTTAAAAGTTGTAACACGATCAATGATCCAAGTAAAAGCTAAAGCTTTTGCAAAAACGGAACGATTTTGTAATATGTATTCTGATATTAAGGAGTGTAAATTTAGTAGTAAATGGGTTGATGGATTTATGATACGTTATAAATTTAGTTACCACCGATGTACTACAGTTGCCCAAAAATTACCTGAAGATTTACATGAATTACAACATCAATTTTTAGAATTTGTACTCTATCGCCGTATACAACATGACTACCCACTTAAATTTATTGGCAACATGGATGAGACACCTGTCTCATTTGATCTTCCTAATCAAACTACTATAGAAGAAACAGGTGCAAAAACGGTTAGTATACGTACTTGTGGGTACAAAAAATCTACCTTTACAGTTATCTTGAGTTGTATGGCGGATGGGACCAAGTTATCAGCAATGATCATCTTTAAGTTAGCAAATATGCCTCACCAAGTTTTTCCCCTGGGAATTATTATTCGAGCCAATAAAGAAGGTTACTTTAATACAGAAGAGACACTTTTTTGGATTGAAAATGTTTAGAATAAACACACGTCTTTATCAAGCAACCCTC